CACCCTACATCTGTTCCAGAGAGAGAGAGATGGGAGGGGAGAGGGGAGAGGAAGGGACCAGTCATTCTCTCTCTCCCTCCCTCCCGTCCTGCCTCCCTCTGCCCTTTGCTCCATTATGAGAGATGGGAAAATCCGGGATGGGATGTCATAGCAACCCCAGATGAGCCCGTGCTCCCCTCTCCACCCCTCTCCCCATTCAGCCTCCTGGCAGCAATTGCGATGGGCACGATAAAGGGGCAGGCCGCGTCTCCTGGCAATCTGCTTTGGCTGCCTGTACCCCCCCGGACAGCATGCTGCTGGACTGGAATTTGAGATGGGGGATGGCGAGGGTGGGAAGCTGAGATTCATATAACTATGATTGTACAGACTGTGGCAGTTTATAAAGTGTTTTTCATATGCATTACCTCAATTAATCTTCCCCACAACTACGGAAGGTGAGTATTCTTTTTTAAATATATATATTTTTTATTGTGTCAGAGAGGAAGGGAGCGGGGGGGGGAGAGAAAGAGAGAGAGAGAGAGAAACATCAATAATGAGAGAGAATCATTGATCAGCTGTCTCCTGCACGCCCCATACTAGGGATTGAGCCGGCAACCCAGGCATGCGCCCTTACCGGGAATCAAACCGTGACCTCCTGGTTCATAGGTTGATGCCCAAACACTGAGCCACGCCAGCTGGGCACCATTCCATGTTCCTGTTATTACCAGTTACCATTATTTACGTCCAAAACACACTGGGTGAAGGCATAATAGTAAGTTGTTTTTCCCCTCAAGAAGCTTTTCATAGTAATAACAACTAGCATTTGTATGGTGTTTTAGCATGTACATGTAAGTGTCCATTTAATCCCCACAACAGCCGGGTGGAGGGAGATTAGTATTGACCTGCTTTTACAAATGAAACACAGGTTCAAAGAGGTTTACTTATTTGCTCTTGGTCCTACATCCAGGAAATGGCACGATGAGGAATCAAACGAGATGGCAGGCTCCAGTGGGACAGGGACAGGGCCTCTCGCACTCAGCACTGTACCCTGAAGCCTGGCGCACTGCGGAGCGACTGAAGTGAACCTCGGGCCTGGCTTACATGATCTGAATTGCTCCTCACAGACTTTACAAACTAGGGTTCTACCACTGCGGGGGCCACTTTATCGCCCTCAGTGAAAGAGGGATGTGTAGACACAAAATCTGCTCAACAAACATACACCTACCCAATTCACACACAGATATCTTCCTTTGTTGGGATCCACAGGCCTGGCCATCCACGGGATTGGAGGAAGGCAGCATTCCTTGCCGTCCTGTAGAAAGAGGCTGTGTGCATTTCCGGTGCCCCTGAGTGCTCGGGACAGAGTGGAAATATTCCAGGCGGCAGACAAGCTCCCTCTCAGGCCAAAAAAGTAGAGGACAGCAGAGGGCGCTGCAGAGCTACGGACCTTGCATTCCCTGGTAATCGGGTTTGGGGCCAGAGCTTTCCAGAAACAGCCAGCAATCTCAGGTAGTCTTCTAGGCCTCAGGTGTTCTGTGATCCTATAGCAATTTCTCTTCTTTTATCCGGAAACCTCAGTGACAGCTGAGAGGTAGCTGAGGGAGAGGAGTTAGAGAATAAAATATTTGGCATCGGACAGGGTTGATTTTGAATACCACTGCAACTGTTGAATTGTGTGATCTTAGGTGAATAACTGAGTTTCCGTTTCTTCATGGGCAAGGAAGGATATTAATTCTGTTGGGCTGAATGAGGTGAATTTGTATCAAGAGCCATAAGGTGTGAGGTTGAACAAACATTCAATACTTACTATCAAGGGCTTACTCTGTGGCCAGAAAGAGTCCTTGGCACTGAGAGTCCACGATGGGCAGATGTGGCCCTGACCTTCATGGAACCGACAGCTTAGTAACGAAGAAAGGCTTCAATCCAACAACTCCGCAGATAGACGACAAATTATATCTGTGCAATTAAGTGCAACAAGGAGTGGTCCTGGACCTCAGGACCTGAGGAAGTGCCCAGGCAGGGAGATTTCCCCGAGGTAGTGAGAAGTTCCATCTGAAGAGTGAGTAGAAATTTACTAAGCAAAAAGAGAGGGAAAAGCCTTTCAAAGAAAGGGAATCACTTATGCAATGGCCACATGTGTGCCAGCTTGACACAGGGCAAGTGGAACTACAGGGGAGAGAGAATAAGGAGAAGCTTGATGGGAGGAGCCTAGAGAAAGGCAGGGTCAGGTCACACAGGACCCCAAAAGCCTTCTTAAGGAGTTTTGTCTTTAGCTTGAGAACGATGGGAAATCATGAAGCATTATCATTACTAGCTATTGGACCAATTTCCATTTTAAAAAGGTCATTCAGGCTGCAGGACTCATAGCAGACCCTCCACCCTCTTCCCTTCAGCGCACACTGGGGTACCAAAGTTGTTAAATTCTGCTGGCTGCTGCCTCATTATCCCTTGCATCCCTAAACACTTCACATAGGACGATTGCAATGGTTTCCTGACTGGTCTCCCTGGCACCAGTCTAACCTACTCTACATAACTAGCTTGATTTTGTTTGATCTTCACAACATGCCTGCCAGTAAGTCAAGCAGCAATCCTTATTCCTGTTTTTTCAGATGAGAAAACTGTGGTGCTATGGAGCTGGCTCATACAGGTGTGTGAGAGCCAATTATAAAAATTTCAGGAATTCTGCAAGCCAGTTGTTAAACATAGCCAGTGTTAAAATTAAATTATACAAATTTATAATGGAATAAATATTAAAACAAAGGTAATGAATTCTCAAAACTCATCACTTCCTGCCGAAACCGGTTTGGCTCAGTGGATAGAGCATCGGCCTGCGGACTGAAAGGTCCCAGGTTCGATTCCGGTCAAGGGCATGTACCTTGGTTGCGGGCACATCCCCAGTGGAGAGTGTGCAGGAGGCAGCTGGTCGATGTTTCTCTCTCATCGATGTTTCTGGCTCTCTGGCTCTCTCCTTTCCTCTCTGTAAAAACTCAATAAAATATATATTAAAAAAAACAACTCATCACTTCCTAATAATCTTACTATTATGAGTTATCCATGTTCTTGGGATTATTTATGTTGTTGCATTTGCATGATGAAACTACTACATAATGGCATGCTACTGCTCATCTCTAACTCTGTGTTCAGATTGAAATCCCATGACAGGAGTATTTACACCATGGAAATTGGCAAACCAAACAAATGTAGTGTTTTGTTGATTATCTAGACTTAAGAAAGTGATGGAGAAAATGTTAATAATTCAGATTTAAATTTAATGTGTTATGTCTGTGGCCATTTCATTGTGAATAGAACAAAAACTATGGACATATTCAGTATTTGAAAAACAGTTTTCTGATTCAGCAAAGAAGTCACTCCCATAATTGACAGTTACGACTGTCTTTTTTTTTTTTTTTTCCTCTTACATTGACATAGAGGAAAATATTAACCAACATTCACTCCTTGGTAACCTGACATCACAGGGCTAACCTTCAAAAGCTTGGCAAAAATCAATGAAAGCATTCTGTGAGAATCAATTGGTTACATGGAACTTGCAATTGTATATTATCACTAGAGGCCGGGTGCACAAATTAGTGCACAGGTGGGGTCCCTCGGCCTGGCCAGCAATTGGGGCCTATTGAGGCCGTCTAGCCCAGTCCCTATCTCGGCCAATCGGAGTGGGGGGAGGGGTGGGGGAGGGACTGTGGGAGGTTGGCTGTGGGAGCGCTTTGACCATCAGGCGGCAGCTCCTGCATTGAGTGTCTGTCCCCTAGTGGTCAGTGCGCATCACAGTGGTTTCATTACGAATCGATATTTACAGTACAATTCATAACAGTAGCAAAATTACAGTTATGAAGTAGCAACGAAAATAATTTTATGGTTGGGGGCAACCACAACACGAGGAACTGTATTAAAGGGTCGCAGCATTAGGAAGGTTGAGAACCACTGGACTAGAGGCTCGAAGAAGGTCGGGTCTAATTAGCATATCACCCTTTTATTATTATAGAATTTTTGTAAATCGTGTGCTACATGTCTTTGCATCAGTACAATGTATGCTAAACTTATGTATACTATACATATATCTGCATACATCTCCTTTCCCCCCCAGAGCACCAGTTCAACATTTATCAGCACGCCTCTGAGTCTCAGGACACATTATCCAGGTGTCATTACAGAAACATTCACTATATGCCAGGGGTGATACAGTTCATCAATGAAGAAATGACCCCGCCTGCGTTAGTCACACATCGCGAGCGGCATAGGCAGGACCAGGAACCGAGTGACTCCCAAGGCCGGCAGCTCTCTCCCGGGACCGACCTGGAGCCCCCCGGCTGGTCCCCATCGCCGGCAGGGGCGGCTGCGGCCTGAGCGCCCGGGAAGTGGAAAGCGAGGGTCGGACAGGGACCAACAGCCAGGCGAGAAGCAGCTCGCGGCCAATAGCGGGCCAGGCCGCGCATCACGTGACGCTCTCCCG